CTGAAAAAAGTGAAAAAACAGCATAAATTCCCTAAAAGTGACCCGATCATGCTGATTTTCGAACTTGACCTGCGTATTATGAATATTCATCAGTTCTGTAAGTTTCAAGGCAAAAGGTAAAATGGTTTTCCACTTATCGCGTTATCGGTGCTGCATATATGCTGAAAAAAGTGAAAAAACAGCATAAATTCCCTAAAAGTGACCCGATCATGCTGATTTTTGAACTTGACCTGCGTATTATGAATATTCATCAGTTCTGCAAGTTTCAAGTCAAAAGGTAAAATGGTTTTCCACTTATCATGTTATCGGTAAAAGTGCACGGCGACGACGGCGCCGACGGCGACGACAGACGCAGATGATGGCTATATGTACAGACACATCTGTGTCTGTACATAAAAATTGCATCTGATCAAAACACATCGTATTCAAAGGCAACTGGGAATTAACACTTTTGACTAAAAGACAAACAAATATCCGTTAAGATGAAAAGTTCATCAGAGAGCACCAGAGTGAACATGTCAAAATGGACATAATCTATTCTAATTTGTACCTAATGATAGTTGATCTAAGACCCCATTTCCAGAGATTAGATCGATCTACTTTAGATCGACCTAACTCCCTGGGGGTTCACGCTAAATAGCTGTCAGCCGAGCGGACAAGAAAGTTAATTACCCCCTTGCAGCTTGTAGTAGGCTGGACGGACATTTAAGCCGGATGATCTGACAGTAATCTAGTGAGACTTCCCGCGGGGATAGATCGATCTAAAAGCTCTGGGAATACAGCCTAAAACTGCTAGGTAAAAGAAAAAGAAAAAAAAACATAGTGTAATGATTTGTTACTAATTACCTGAAGATCTTCAGCCATAGTCATGTCCAATTGGGTGACATCTTTTATTCTTTGGTTGACTCTTTTAATGACAGCATCTTCATCTTCCTTCAGCCATGCACTAAAAAGTTCATTTTCATATAAATATTGGACACACCATTGGAGGATATTTAGCAGGAATCTTTACTGGTTTGTCTTCTGTTGCATAAAGCAAATGTTACCTAGTTACTATGCAATTATAACAAATAAAGTAAAAAGAAATACATATTTTCAATAATTAAGAAATCAATATTTTTCATTTTAATTTGCATTCATTTCTTAATTTATGAATTGCTAAAAGCACCAATTTGAATACATATACAAACTAAACATGTATCAATATCAGTGCCAAAGTGCCTTTGATATACATTTAATTCCCACCCCCAATCAAAAAGTATGTTAAAAAGATCATGTACAGAATTTCAGCACACACACACAAAACAATTTCCCCATTATATTTAGGTCTTTGGTTGCCCTCAGCACTCCCAACACCATGGTGCTAACATCACACATTGAAAAAAAAACCAAATACAACATAACCTCTCATATTATTCTACTCTTTGCTCTATTTTCTTTTCTATCTGCCATCCAAAATATTATCGGCTTTATTTTCATTTAACTTTTTTTTTTTGCTTTTAATTATATTTATTTCACTCTGGCAGCTTGATGTCCTCTTATCCATGGGGTCCTATGCATGTGTTTAGTCTGCTTAGAAATAAATAACAGCCTGAGCCCCAAACAAACAAGTACTCTATCAGTATATGTTTATACATAAAACTTTTATCTTCACTAAGCTTGAACGAGGTGAACAATTCCATGTGTTCATTGTACTTTCCATTCCATTTAAAAGTGAATTTTGACCAGGAATACAAGTCCTTGTACTTTCAAAATGTGCAAAATGTCTTTAGGATATAAACCAAGGCTATCAACAGGCAAAGGAGGAAGATTTAAGAAAACCCCCCCCCCCCAAAAAAAAAAAAAAAAAAAAAAAATATATATATATATATATATATATTTGGCCTCCTTAACTAAAAAAAACAATATAATGATTCATTAGTTATAACTTCTACTTTTAAAATGTATCAATTTTAGAGTGATATATTTACAATCAATCAATGTTTGTGATAGCTTATTACAAAGTTATCAAACTGATAATCGTAAAGAAATCTTTAATCGTCTTTCTTGTATACTTATATATTGCACACTTCACTCCAAGCAAGTAGTGAAAATATTTCTTCAATGTTTGACCAGTGTATACTTCAGTGCACACAGTAAATAGACAATTATCAAATCCTTGCTCGTGCTCTCCCCAATCAAACCTGCTGCTTACCCTTTACTTGTACGGTAATTTTGAGTGGATGGCTTTGATGCATCAGAGGTATCAAACACTGTGGAACGTGCCAGCTACAACACATGACAAATCATGCACATCATGGGAACTACACAGACCAATAACAGTGCATGTGCTCAAGACATTCACACAAGAGCTGAGAACGTAAGCAGTGCCAGAGTAAACCCACATTTGTGGCACTGATAATACTCAAAGTATAATTCTCAAAAGTACTATTGTGAACTCACAATAGCATGAGTGTGAATCCACAATAGTACCAATGTGAACTCACAATAGTACGAGTGCAAACTGAACTGTGAAGAGAAACAGAATCTTAATGAACACTTAAATGCAACCAAGCAAACGTGAAAAATGCCATTAGTATAGAGTGTGGCAGAGTAAGGCTTCGTTCACATGCAATGTCTATTTTCTATTTTCTATTTTCTATTTTCGGTATGTCTTATGATCACGGTCTGTGCACTGAATATCCCGCCGCGTAATTACTGGCAGCGCGAGCCAGTTACTTAAAGTAACTTATAGTAACTGGCTCGCGCTGCCAGTAATTACGCCGCGGGATATACAGTGCAAAGACCGTGATCATAAGACATACCGAAAATAGAAAATAGAAAATAGAAAATAGACATTGCATGTGAACGAAGCCTAACACTGCAAGAATTTCAACTAAAACTTTGTTACAGACTTCTAAGAAAAAGAAATTGCTGAAAAAAGCAAGGGCAACTCAATAAGTTAGACACTTCAAAAGATACAGAAAGTTAAAAAAAAACAAATTAAAACAGTCTCTGTTATATATTAAATCAGAAGGGATTATAAGACAAGTGTTAGCTATCCCATTGTGCATAAAATATTGCCAAGTTATTTCATGTCTGACTTAAACAAAAAATGCCACTTCCAGGCAGCTCTCATTTCATGATGGTTTTACCATTTCTGAAGCACAGATATGCACCTCCTACATAACAGTTAAAATCTAGGAAAATGACCAGAAAGTTTAACAAAGTTTAAAAGATAAGAATCAAATCTGTACTCAGTAAGACCAACTGCACAGTTAGACTATTAATTTTACCTTTTACTAGTTCTATACTGTACCCTTCCATGTTTATGAAACACACCCGAAACGGCAAGCTAAAACAGAATCACATGGCACATGACATTCAAAATGTCTATGAGGGCAAACTGTTTACTATACAGACAATATGTCTGCCATCCAGGAACTTCTCTAATAGGATATATAGTTGATAACATTATTGGGGTAAGGGAAGGGAAAAAGCTGGGTATTTATAATTCTGATATGTGTAGAGGGAATATAACAAATAGAAAACATATCTAGAGAGTAGAAACTCACAAAAAATAACAACAAAAATCTTCCTGCTGATCTTCAAAAATCACTTTTACATATTTGTCCCTAACCTAAATGTGGGTCAAGAACAACAAACCTAAAAACCCTGAGTAGTTTAAAATCCAACCATTCAAATTAATACTTTTATATATTCCATACATTGCTTATAAAATTTTGCTTACATAAGAATGAGTATTTTACATTTGTGAGTAGAATATAGAAAATTACATTTTCAGTTCACAGAGGGTTACATTCACAGATCTATTAAAGCTACTGGGCTTGAGTGTATTGAGGCATTAGGGAAGCAGTGGTATTATACCTTTCATAATCCGAATTTAATATGAAAAGGTATTACAAAAGATCAAGGGTTGCTCAGAGATAAGCATATCTGTGCTACATACCATCTTACGTACATTTTCCTGAAAGCCTGCCACCAACAAAACATAAGTCTTCAACCCATTATATCCAAGATTAAACAAAATAAATGGTTGGTTAAGAAAAATTGTAAGAATTATAAAAAACAATGAAACAAAAATTCGTTTTAAAAAAGAAGTAGAAAAAAGTAAAAGAAAGGAAAAAAATGTGCATTTCATCTTCTGATTGACTGCAAATGCTATGGAAGTGTCTCCACTCAATTGATAGAACAATGAAGTTCAAAAGAACAGCACTTGCTGCAATATCAACTTAAGCTGCCATTCAAATTCAGAAAAAAAATGTTACAGACAAAAACAAAAATGTAGCTTTTGCCTTTAAAAAAACACCTAAACAACAACCAATTTTAACTCGAGTTAGACAGACACATTGGGGAACATAACGTAAACCTTTACCACCTGGCACCAGAAATTCAACATTAACTGACGCTAAACAACCCAATCATGAACCAAGCTTGGACAACATCACCAATTACCAAAACCTTTGGGGGAAAAGCAGTCATAAGTTTTAGGAGTGAACTTTGTCATTCTCAGGGAAACAGTATGGTTATTAGTAAACATGCTAACAGATGAGTCACATGTCTACACAAAACATAAAAATTGATGAAATATACAAGCAACACTTTACCTTTTACTTATGCGGTAAAATGCAGGCTCGTAACGACCTGTTTGGAGATTCATTGCAGTTGCCCGAGCAAGCTGTAAAAACACAAAGGAAGGAAAGAAAAATTGAAACAGAAAATTAAAAGCATTACCCAAGATCAGAAGCTATACTCTGATCAACCCAGATATGCAGAACGAAATATATAACTGTAAAACCTGAAAAGGCTGACCCAGATGAGGCACAAAGCTGAAACAGAAATATAAGATGGTATGACCCATGTGGGATTAAGCTGGTCACGAGCAAGGATGGGCGTGGAGTATCAATCATTTTCTTTCATTTTTTCCCCAAAAAAAATTCTATTTTTCTTTGTTACCTTTTACTTATTCTGTACTTGGCAGGTTCAAGTTGAAGAGTTTGGGGATTTTGAACAGTGGCTCGAATTAACTGCAAAACATATTTTGATTAAAATGTCAACTATAAAAAATAAACCCGCACAAATAATGATAATATGAGGCATGCACAGTAGATATTTCAGGCATTAAAATACGATTCAAGAGTATCATGGTTTCCACCTAAATTGGGACTTTTATTCCATGCACATGCCATCCCATGCTTTTTAAACAATCCAAATCACAAAACTATCTCCATCTTAAACTGAAGAACACAACTTCCTCTATCTTATATTTCATGCACACAGCCTTCCTGGTCTGAAACTATGAAGCTCTCCTTTACCTTTTACTTATTCTATAGAATGCAGGTTCCAGTTGTCCTGTATATACATTTTGTACTGTAGCACGTTTAAGCTGAAATGCACACATTCTATGTGAAACTACAAAGAATTTGAGATAAAATAAAAAATAGAGGGTTAAGCAATAACAACAGTAAAACAAAACATATCATTATAGCCAATAAAGAGAGTGCAAGAGAACATGCAATTCACAAAGAATATTTACACTATAAGTAACAAATATCTCTATTTCAATTCATGCATTTCATATCTTTCTGCAATATAAAATTTCATAATAAATGTTATCTCAGCCCCAATGACATGTTATCCAAATTCCAATTAAATCAAACAAAAGAAAACATTTCTACAGAGCAGCACTCATTGTGTAAATATTTCAAATAAACCCAACTAGCAATGGATGAATTGAATAGAGACAATTCTAAAGTGGTAATAGATTAACAGTTGAATAAAAGCTTGCTGATAGAATTTTAAGAAAACAAAAGTGTGACAAAAAATTGTGCATGTTGATTACATTAAAGCATACAATTCAATTTTCATCACGCAAATGAATTTAATGAAATCAAGTAAGAAACAAACAATTGTTGCTTTATCAAAACACATATATTTTGATGATCATTTTTACAAACATGCATTACTCCGAATAAAAATGACTTACATTTCTGATGCAACAATTCGGCTCAAACAGTCAATTTTATCCAAATATTTAACTATACTTTTGATAGTATTTATAATAAGCTACATGCATAACACCCATTAAAACATGCAACAAGACAAAGAGTAAAATGTCAAGTCATTGATCCACTAGCTGGTTTCAGTATGTGCCACAGCATTGCTTAATATACACCAGCAAAATTCAGTTCGAGGTCTTTCTACATGCCTTTATATAAATATATATATTACATGGATACCTTTATATAAATATATAACCATGCACATGCATACATGTGGATCATAGCAACTCGGCCATTACAGGTCTTATTCACTGACCTAAATTTTGCTTTCAGATTTTGTTTGTTGAATATTTTTTCAGGGTGGAAACGATGTATAAATGAATAAATAAATCATTCATTTTTATTACATGAATGCTTACCTTAGGTGCAGCAAGCCTTTTTATTGTCTCTATTTCAAAATCTGAGAGCATGTTATGATAAAACAAAATCCTTGGATCCAAGAATGCCTCCTCTTCCTTCAGAGGCCGTAATAACAGATTAGGACGATTGTTGTGTGTGTAACGGCATTTCAGCTTGTGTTTGTTGGGATCAGGCTGAAAAAAATTATCAGATTCCAAAAATATTTCAACAGAAAAAAATTCTCTAAAAAACCAACTGAAAAAAATCACCAATAACCATATTGAAATAACTAGAGCTAGCCTGCAAATCTCATTTTTGCATTTCATCTCTAATAACAACATTCGAGACAATATGACAGCAGTTCATGAATCACAATGACCAAATTTTCCTACATGTTAACTTGATATTTGTCATTTTTATGAAAAAACATTAAACACTTCAATGCAAGAAAAAAATTATGTGAAATCACATTTACAGTAAAGGAAACAGCTACCAATAATCATTTGCATAAACACCTACAATGATATCCTCTCCTCTACAAAGAGCTTCATACTGCTTGAATTCTTGACCCTTTCTGTAATCATCAAGAAGTCGCTGGTTTTGAATTTCTGGCAAATCTTCCTCTTCTCCGCGCTTTTTTTCCTGATCAGCCGTCTCCAGCAGTTTTTCATAATAGCGTAAATTATTGACGGCTCTTGGATGATTGGGATCTGACATAAACAGAGAGTTTAGTTAAATGCAGCAATTTGACCCCAAAACAAAACATCATCTGGCAATATTAAAAGGGTATTTTTGACTCAAATCAATTCATTTGCCACACTGTGGACATAAATATCTTTACACAAATAATGGACACTACCACATGATAACTAATCCACTAATCATGTAGTTCATGACAAAAGAATGTATCAGATTGATTAACTCAGTCATCAATGTAATTAAGGTAAAGTAAACATAATTTCCCCTAATTGATATTTCCTTGTATGATTACTTTTTTGTATATAATTGGATGGAATTCTTGTTTACGTCGACATGTTTACTTCATTCCAAGTGGAACAATTTAGAAAACAAAAAAATGTTTCAAAAAAATTAAGATGTGTTACATATACTACTAACCTAAAATAAAAGATGTCAATATGTGAAAATTAGAAAACATGCTAATTGAAATTAATAACTGCAAAAGACATAAAAAGCTTGAAGCTGATAACCTTCAAAATGCCCATAAAAAGCATAAAAGATATGAAGTCATAATTTAATACTAAGGAAAAAATAAACTTTTTTGATTCGATCCAAAAACTAAACCAAAAGAAAAGTTGTTACACTAAACCCAAACAATACATCAGAAATTGTTTTATAAATTGACATGAAAGTTTAAAAAAAAAAAAAAAAAAAAAACGATAC